CCCCCCTCCTCTTCCCCCGCGCGACAAGCTGCGTAATCTGCTCCCGCGAGGATCGCTCGAACTTGCAGACACTTCCAGTGCCTGTTTCCGGGGATAAATCCGTGAGCGTTCCGCAGCCGCCGCGCGGCCTTCACCCCGATTGGCACGAGGTTGCTTGTTTCTCTATAGACGTTGGTGAAAGAGTTCAGGTGTTCCAGGTACAATACGTGGTGGGATAAGCACTTTTCGTGGGTGACGTGTGGCCCGGCTTTCAAGTTTCAATTCGTAGGCTCTTTGTCAATGGGTCATGTCCCTCCCCAGCCCCCCCGCGCATGATTTCCCTCGCTCTCTAGAAGACTCGTTGCGGTGTCTCTCCTAACCCTTGTGCACCAAATCTGCACTTGCTCGAGTTTAGCATTGCGCGCTTGGCGTGGGTTCCCTCATCTCTATAGAGTTTTGGTCTAGACACGGCAGGATTACGCCTCTTTCGCCGTTCCTCGGTCTGTTGTCCAAACACCAGGCAGGGTACGTTTCAACTCACCGATGGCCTTATGACCGTGTCGCACGAAACATTTACCGAGCGCAGAGGGAAAACGGCGTGCTGTTGATGCGTCGCTCGGCCGCTCGGCCGCTGCCGCCGCCTCTAGCCACAACCCCCGCCCCCGCCCCCGCCCCCCCCTCTAGCCACAACCTCCGGTTATTTGTTGTTGTTTTCATCCTCGCTGTGCGTAGAAGAAGGAGGGTTACTCCGCGACTTGCTCCATGCAACTGCGGGACAAGTGGGGGTCGGGGGTGGGGGGGTGGGGCGGGGGGCGGACACGTGGAGCAGCCGATCGGGCTTGTAGGAGAGCGGCGGGAAGCGCGGCGCCTTCACCTGTTCTAGATAACGGCGCTGGGGACGGTCTGGATACGGCGATTGTGCGGCGGATGAAGCCCCGACAGGGAGAGAGAAGGGGGACAAGAGGCCCAGAGACTACGGCAACGCGGGGCGAGTCGTACACGCGGCGTGAAATGATCGTCCGAACGATCTTTTTCGCGCGGCATGGCACGTCGTTGCCCCTGGCACCCGATCTCTCGCTTGTATCGGCGCGACTTGAAGGGGTTGAGGGGGGCAATCCGGGTGCGGTCACGGCCCAAGAAACCGTCATCCAAGACGCTACCCGCGGCACTGCGACCTCGACACAACCAGCCTCTGCTGCCACCGGAAGGATATAGGTTTTTGGTTTGTTTCAAAAATTGATTTGTTTGCCTTTGCTTTTGGGTGACCTTATTGCCTTTTTTTTTTTGTCGACGAATGCTCGCTGCAACTTGCTTACTGCGCTGTCCCTGTGTGTGCTTGTGTGCGTCTTTTCGACCCTAGACCTAACAGCAGCCTCTGTAGAAACCTCATCGCCCTGTAGCGCGGCCGGCGGCGGAGCCAAAGTCGAACACGACCAATCTAGACTAGAGCAGCAACCTCCCGGCTCGAAAATCAAATGCCGAGAGTTCGCCGGATACCCCGACATGATCTAGACACCAGGCGGGACGAAATATGGATAGAGCAAAACGGGAGCACGGTGAAAGAAAACGGTTGCGCCGCAAAGCATTGACCAAATTAGTCCGCATCAAGACAACCTAAGAAACATTTCGGTGACACTGGATAGACCATCAAACCCACCATTGGTATTTTGCACTTCCGATGGACGCGTCTCTGCACGTGTCACCCAGACCTTTGTCCTTTTGTACTGCTGTTGCCAAGGCAGGAAGAACCGTGAGTCCTGGTTCCGCTAGGCACCGTAAGAGGACCTTAATGCCCCCCTAGATCCGAATCCGTTGGCTCCTATGCCGC